AATGTCAAAAACTGTGCACAGAGGCCTTAATAAAGAATTAAGGAAAATAGAAAACGTACTAATGAATTAAGCTAGAAAATTGTCTTAGACCGGTGCTCTTGGAGTAACTTCGTTGCAATGCTTATGGAATGTTTTCCTGTTAGTAGCCTATTACAATTCTTCGAGGTCGACCAACAACAACCTGAACTATTCGGTTTTACTTTGCTGCAAGACAAACTTCGATTCAATTTAATTTCTCAATGAAGGTGATAAAGATGTAGAGGTTTGTTCACAAAACATCTTAAACTTTAAAGCTTGAATTCAGTCTCTTTTCCAACAGGTGTCTAGCTGGAATGGGCATTTATGAACCAAAAAAATGTTGAAAACAGATCCCTAGGCCATTTATCAGAAGAATCACTCAAACGTTTAAAGCAGAGCAAACAATAACTACGACAWAAAATTAAAACTGTCGGATCTGGAATGACTCTCCGTTGACAAACTGTGAGGAACATTATCATTATAAAGACTAAATACTCAAGTCTTTYATGAAAAAACGGATTAACACGATTTCTTCTCCACAAAATCGCTAAGGCAACACAGGAATACTGATAATTGCACTTGATATTATGYAAGGCAAAGCCGTATTTAATAAGTGCAACAAGCTAGACGGACAWTTTTTCTCTAGATTTAGCAGTCTCAGAAATCCACCCGTYGGCGTTCATTGCCTTCAGTTGAAAGTAGATTTATATTCTTGACACACCATGAAAGTTTGGAGGCTACCATACAAAGAAAACAAGAGATCGAATTCCGCTGTAAGAATAGGAAGCGGGGGTAAATTGCAGATCATAGGACTGAATGAATGTCATCCCCTTCATTCTGTACCTTTTGCATCATCAGACATAAACGTATATATGCCTATTTTATTTCATTTTTTGATAGGATTGTAATTATGATTTACTTGTTAAGGTCACAACAATGGCTAATGCACGATAAACACTGCATGTTTTGAAGTATAAAATTGGTATGGCTAATGGCATGCGACTATAATAAGTCTAAATAAGTTCCAGATATGAATATTGGGACCACTAGTATGAAAACATGATATGAAAATAAAGGAAAGATATAGTGCTTAGGAGGAGGTTATTATTTCTCTCGGAATATCCTCCTTTCTAAGCACTATAACTTTCCTTCAGTGCTTCTGTATATAAGCTCTAGTCAGTAAATCTCATCCATCTCTTTTTTTATTGACTGGTCTTGACTAGGCAATGCGTTTGATCATTTCGATTTAATATATTCATCGCCGATTTTCGGTTTAATGTGYTGCTAGGAAGCATGTTCTTTGTAGGAAAAATGACAAACAAAGGGATTCATACTGTAGTGGTACTGACTGAATTATATTAACCTAAGGTAACGCTATCTCATTTGATCAAGAGCCGGCTTAACCCCTAGAGGACCGGCGTTTATTTGTTGATTTTGGAGCATTTTCGACCCTAACATCTTGATAAAATAATTGACTTCCATATAAGGTGCTGTCAATAAAACTATTTCGGATTTGAATTCCCTAGGCAGCGTTAATTTATGCAGAGTTTTGTAAATTTAGGCCAGACCGTTTGTTTATCGACCGGTTGTGCATGTTTCTCTTTTATTTTTTATTTTTTACGTTTGAATCAAATAGAGAAAAAATGCACTAACTCAGAGAATCCTAATCTTAAAACTAATAACACTTCATAATACTTTATAATAGAGAGCTGTAGAATTTAGACAATGATGTTGAATATTAATTTCCAAACTTGCTAGGATTCGAACCTCCTAYGTTGGGATTTGTACCACAGCTGATCCTGTACCAGATGAGCTACAAGGTCGGACTGGAAACCATGTCTTCAGTGACACGTATTAATATAATTACATGCATGATGTTAAACTCAAATGTCAGCTTACAAAATAATGTTCAAGTAGATCTTTCTCAGACAACTAAGATTATTCTAAAGAAAGCGAAAAAAACARCAACAAATATATATAAAATATATATAAATATCGGCATAAATAGAGGATAGTATGTGGGTGCACGCAGATATTATGTATTTATCTTAAAGAATGGAAAATATCTCTCATTGGCGAGTTTAGCAAACAAGTGAGAGATTTTCAACAAGAGAAGATTAAATCTGTGTATCTCCAAGTAAACATGTAATATTCCTCCCTCCTTCTACTAAGGGACGGTCCATTTAACTTTTTAGGGGGGGGGGGGGGGGGGGGGGGTGGGTGGATGATTTCTTGTGAGCAAGATTTTTTTTTCTTCGTGGCTTTTGGGTAGCATATATTTTTTTCTCTTGGTGGTGTGTAGGATTTTTTTCTTCTTGTATGTAACATTTTTTTTTGGCTTAGGGTGGTGCAAGATTTTTTTTTTAGGTCCATATGTTGTGCACGATTTTTATTTTTGGTGAAGATGGCTTGCAGGATATTTTTTTTCTCAAAATCCCCCTCAAAAGTTAAATGGACCGTCCCTAATTATGGTGATGTAATGAAACCGCCACGAGGCCAAATATRAACAATAACCCAAGTTGTCAAACGAAAAAGCCATGTACAAATATAGCTCAAAAAGTGTTCACAGCAGTGCAAACTCTATTGGACTGAGCAAAAATCTTGTTTGATTTCTCTTTATGTTGTCAAGGCGCGTAATATTAAAGACCGGTCGGTTTGCAATGTCGACCTTTAATCCTTTTTATCTCAGGTAATAATGCTAAAAAATAATCTGCAAAGTTTTTTCAGTACACTGCGATGTTCCAACTTAACTTCAATCATTTCATAAGGATAAAACAATCTTTTACATTCAACCCAAAATGTCGCAGCAAAACTGCCGCAAAAACTGCTATTTTGAAGAGTTCTTAACGATGTGATTAACAACAAAGTCAGCTTATTTAGAATGCAGATAATATAACTATGATATAGATGGCCCCCTCATTTACTGAACAAAATGTTTTTTCCATTTAACTGCAACAAGAAATCAAAAAATAGAATAACCCTCAAAACATACTATTTGATTTTCGCCTTTTTACTTATCATTTGCATTTTCTACTTGAAGATTATAGAAAGTCAGTGATGAAGCAAGCCAAATTCCCGCGAAAATATTCCGCCATTTTTGTTAACGGCCTCTCGTTTTAAATTCATTGGATCYCTGGTTACATAAARGATCTGAAATTGTTCACTATGTGGTCATAGTAGGCATGATAAYTCTTTAATTGATTATTTCTGATTCCTTTGTGTAAATTATCATGTTTATTATGATWATTAAGTTATTATTGCATTATTTTTATATTTCTAATATATACTGTACTTCTTAAAACAATTGTAAATTGTTCTTACTGGTTCTTTTCAGCGGGATAGTTATCTCAAAACTTATATAAAACGCCTGTTGACGCCATCTCATCGTCAAAATTGTTTATCTACTCAACTTCGCTTGTGGATGCACAACAATTTTAACGAAGTATGCGACCGTGGTAAATAAGAAAACATGCCACGAGAACCTGACATATATTCGTTATATAAATAATATAACATACAGCCTTTTGCACAAATTATGAGACATTTTTATATATATAAATATACAGCCTTTTGCACAAATTATGAGACATTTTTATATATATAAATATACCTAACCAAATATCAAAAACACCCAAGAAATTATGGGATACCGTCGCTGATATTTTGTCTGTAACAACCTGATGCTAGGCAATCATGACAAAATATAATAGAGATATACCATAATTTCTGGCGTGTTTTTGATATTTGG